TGTCTAGTGTCAATTATATCGTCAGTTACATCGTTATCGCAAATTTTCAAATGTATATCGTGATAAATATTTCTGGTCATATCGCCCTGCTCTAAACGACAGTATTGTGCATTTACGGCAGTTACACTTGTTTCTTGGTTGTTGTTTTTTTTATAGATTTTTTTTTTTTGGACAGGACAGGAGAGAAGCTTGGAGAAAGACATAACTCAAAAGCGGGCCTCAGCATTAACCTTATAGCATATGCATCACCGTTGCTCAACCCAGTGAGTCAAACCAGCGCCCCACACTCAGATCTATTTAATCATTGTGTGTGTTGCTTTGAAAATGGAAACAGCACAGCTGTGCAGTAATTACAGTGCTCAACTACAGGCTGGCCTACTGACTCATCTGGCTGAAATCCACACCACCTGACCAAAACACTGAATTCAGATCCAGTGTGGAAACCTTATCAAATGTCAATACTGTGTTTTTAACCGAGAACAATATCCTAGAGTGCATTTTGATGCTTGTAAATACTCCACAGCACACCTCTCGACTCTGTGTTTGTGTGACGCAGTGTTTCATCCTAAATTTTCAACTCCAGTGACTTTTTTTGACACGTCACCACTTCCTCTACAGGTATTATCGCAAGTTTGGTTGGTTTAACAAACAAAAAAACAGCCCATGCTATTTGACACACAGCTGGTAATGTCAACAGGGCAAAGAGTTAAAGACAGTGAGCAAATCATAATCAGCCTCAGGGCTTTTTCCACACACAGGTGCTAATGTGTACAAAGACTAGCTGAGAGCGACAGGGAATCTTCTGGACTTGAGCTGATGGATATCAAGATGCAGAGGCTTTTAGAAATACAGGATATCCATTAGACAACACAGAAACAGAAAGCCGTTAGATGTGGGGCCTGATAGCAGAGCTACACAACTGAACAGTCCCATAGTGCCTATATCATCCAAAAAACACTTTTAGTCTGCATCTACTAACATGAAATTTGTTTTTCTGACTCTTTTTGTCCTAAATTGTATGTTTCACACCTTTCCTGCCATCTATGCTAAAACAACATATAATTAAGCTAAAGGGCAATTCTGATTTTTGTTTTAGAGACTTTCTTTAAAATTATGACTTTCAGCAGTTACATACATGCAAACAATACAAATTAAATACCCACCTTTAGGACCCACAACCAACCCAACAACACGATATGGTACCCGCACCTGTACAGTTAAAACGATAAAGGTTAGCTACACACACTTTAAAATACAAAACACAACAGAGAGCCTTATTTATACAATAATTTTGCCTAGATACTGACACTAATAACACAGAGTCATCCTAACGGTTGTTCTCAACCCCTGAATGACTTCTTTTTTTTTTTTTTTATTTAAAGTCAAGCTTGCTGACCTGAATGGTAGTCCGTCCAGGTAAAGCCGGAGTCCCGAGGCTGGCTCCTGCAGTAAGAGGGCCGGTCCTGTTCCGAGAGGCTCTGATAAGGGAAAAGTGCTCAGCCGCAGACATGATCTCCCTTTTAGCCATGGCCACATCTTCTTTACGCCCCGTCACAACAAAGACTGGCTGTTCCCCCCTCACTGGTGTCTTAATGTAGGTGTTGGTCTTGGCTCGAAGTGCCTTGATCTTACAGCCTGTCACATGGGCAAGTTAAAAAACACATAAGGGAACCACATTAACCTTCACAGATTCAACATTGAACTCTTGAAACTCTGCATCTCCTAATAAACTAATGAACTAATAAAAGATCATGACACAAGCACTACAGCACAGGTCTCCAGTCATTAATGCCACATAAAAGTTGCATAGCTTATAAATTTAATATTCCATTCAGCAGTGGTTGAGAGTCCAGCATCATTACCAGAGCCATTTCCTGTTGTTGTCAACACCGCAGTCTGTGCACCATCCCCCAACTTACTCTCAAACATAATCACACTGCCCCACTAACCGAGTCCAGCCATCTATGTAAAGTTTAGATAAAACAAAGACCACATATAAGGGTCTAAGAACAGCGAGGGGATGTTTAGCTGAAATCATATCGGTTATGTCACGGAGCTAACTATAACCTGCAGCTGATGTGGCAAAAGAATGGTGCCCTCTCCTCCGAGACAAAGCCCAGGCTGGTTTAGCTCAGCGAAACACGGCTACGGGGGGGCTCACTGACAGCATACCCGTGATATAGGCGAGCTACTGCACCGAGGCCACAGAGTGGGTTCCGGAGACCAATAAAACTTTAGCTGTAAACTTTTTTCAGGGTGTTGGGCGAGGGTGTTATTGTTGACCCAGTTTGAAGGGGGAGGAATGCTAAGCTAGTAGCTGACTATGCCACTTTTCTTCGCGACGATTTTTTTTAAAGCTATAACTTAGTTTTATCTCGTTGCTTTTCTGTTCCACGCCTTTAATTAATTAGAAGATAAACTCGCGATTCTTCAAGTTTCTTTATTTTGTCCCTTAATTCGGTCCTGCCTAACTCTCCCCACAAAGTTTAGTCTAAACTCCGTTAGCACCTTAACGTTAGCTCCACAAGCAGTCAAAAAGAAAGCGACTCACCCTGCCTGCCAACGATCTCCGCGACGTGCTCCGAGCTCGGTACGGCCACACACTCGGTCGTGTTTACGCTCTTACGCCGGTTCAACAGTGATGTCTCGGCCTCTCCGTAATCCGGCTCCCCGAACCCGCCGGACGGTAGCATCGTCATGCTGTTAGCCGGCGGGAGAGCGCCGCCGACCGCAGGATCGTCCCGCTCGTCTCCGTTGTATAGCAACACAGTCTCGATGTGCTCCATCCCGGAGCTAGCCGGCCCAGAAAGGAGGTGTTGGTTGCGGTGGTGGGCCTGCGTTAGCAACGAGGAATCGGTTGCAACTAATGGCTCGTCCTCAGCCGCTGCCGTTTTGTTAATTTCGTCTCCCGAGGGCGGACGAGGCAGTGGCAAGGGCTTCAAGTCGAGGACCGTACCGAGGAGGCTGAAATGGGAGAGCGGGAGGTGGTGAAAGGGGAGGCTCTCGTCAGCTAGTTCGGGCGTCTGGCTATGAGCGCCGTGCTGCTCGTCAAGGCCCATACCGGCGAAAGCGTGCAGGAGCGGCGGTGGGACCTCGGACTCTCCCTCATCGGCCTCCAGCAAAGACGTACTACTCGGCATGATGCAAGCCTTTTATTGATATTGCCGGTAATCGTTATGAATAATGAATGAAATTTGTTTGATTACAAAAAATAAAAATAAAAAAGCGACCAGCGCCTGTTCGTTGAAATGTGTGGCTTTGTTTTGTCTTTACGGCGCTCCTCTTCTCTTCTTTATTGAGGCGCATTTACAGCTGGCTTTCGATTATTTGGCGCACTACTGCCCCAAGTGGTATGGAGTGAGCGTCGACCCAATCATTTCAACGTTCAGAAAAGGCGGCGGGGGGGCGTGAAAGTGAAAGACGCAAAGCTGTTCCACAGTTGAATATTTTAATGATGTTCCAGTGTGTCTGATGAAAAAGTCATTCCTTTCTCCACACCTACTTTCTCCCACTTTCGTTTAATTAAACTCTAGTCTTTCCTCTTAACCTTTGACTGTTTTTGATACCTTTCCTTCGACACCTGCTTCATAATGCATTTGCTTTATTTCCTGCTTAACCATAACCCAACCATAAAATCCATCTAACTGATTTCTGTGGCTTGTTTTGCTTTCACTGCATACACACTGCATGTTCATGTGAAGCTTGTTTTCAGGGTGAGATGCAATTTCACAACTGTCAGGAAGATGCACTCAACGTACATTATGAGGGGCGTTGTGTCATGGGAATATTAAAATGATACAACATCTGTGGGTGTTGGCATGGTCTACACCCCAAAAGTATTAAATGAGTACATGAATATTAGATGTGAGAGAAAGACATTGTGGTGTTTTCAGTGTGCGTTTTGTTGGCATAAAGATTGAGAGATAAATATAAATGCTTATAGGGATGGGATGTAAATGTATAATGAAGGCATGGAGAGTTTTTATTTGCAAGGCAAGAGGATCGATGTAAGTCTGGCTCCTTGCCATCTATAACATCTCTAAGTGGAAAAGTGCAAGGGTTTGAAGACAGCTGTCCTGAACATTTAAAAGGTAAGCCTGCTATGAATAGAATGATATAGTTTTGTTTTTGTTTTTCATTCTTACAATTCACAACAGAAATGCTAATATGTACTCAAGAGCAATATTTCTTTTTCATGATTTTAGGGGTTACTTTGCAATGTTCAACTCCAGCAAAAATGTTTTTTCTATATATTTGTTTTAAACACACAGGGAAAATAGATCATTATCTGGCACGATAACCTTTAAAATCAAGTCTACTACATATTGTGAATGAAAACTATCCACTAATATTTAAGTCAGTCATTCATTTTACACCATACAGAAAGGACCCAAAGTAGAGCTCAAAGTAGTTTGGAAAAGTGGTCTAAACCCACAATGCAACTGAGAAAATGAGCCAAAATGTTTTTCTAGTAATAAATGAAATCAAAATTTTCCTTTCAACAACCAAATATACTTCTTCACACATTCATCCACATACAGGTAAATTTTAAAGATTATTTCACCCCCTTACTCCTTATATATTGTGTCATTATATAAAAATAAATGAATATAAAACTTAAGGCACAGTGTAATAACAAAAAAGACAAAAGGAAATAAACAAACAAGACAAATCAAACAAACAAAAAAAAAACATGTTTTGTTGCCAGAGTGTGACGCTGTCATAGGGGTTAAATATCCCAAATTGTTACGAAACATTTAATGTGTCTAATGAAATTTGGTTATAAGTAACATAAATGTAACCACCATGCTATACCGATAGGGCTTAAGCAGCATTTCTACTCCATTCAAACTGCCTTCACTTTCATTTTAACCGGCGGCCACGTTGGAGCCCTGGATTCAGGTACTAAAAGGGAAGCTACGCTTTGCTCACACTTACGTGGTTGTGGCCCACGTGATGTTACAATGGCTCCTCCTTTTATGTTTTTCCACCAGTGAGAGCAAGCAAAGGCGGGCTTTTACGGATGACGGCCAATGAGATGTGTCGTTAGTAATACGCGTCTTAGCATTAGTTGCATCCGGGTGAGGACTGGGGTGAGTAGGTAATTCTAAGTAAAACATAATCTAAAATCGTAAATATTTGGATTTATTTTAACGCCTGTTACTACTTATATCCTAATAAAACAACAACACAGCAACCATTGAAACATATTACAAATCCCGAGCTTCTTTCTTTCTCTAAAATATAAAGACCAGCTAGCTCGCTAGTTAGCTTTAAGCTAGCAGCTAGCCGCTTATATCAGTGTCCGGGTTTTCCTTGTCGGTATTTTCGCCACCTTCGGTGACGGTTTTAGTTTTAAATCTGTTGTTTTTACAGTTTTTTTCTTAGAAGCTGTCGGCTCTCAGTCTTCAGGATGCACGGATCGCTTTGGGTGTTGCTTCAGGTGCTCTGGGCCCAGCTGCTTTGTGGGTGGGTGCTCGGCTCCGAGCTAACTTTTGAGCTGCCAGACAACGCTAAACAGTGTTTCTACGAAGACATCATCATGGGCACCAAATGCACCCTGGAGTTCCAGGTGCGTGTCTGTTCTTTCGATCCCTCCCATCCATGCGAATCATCCTTGTCGTTTTCCCCCCCAAATTAAATCGAGTATAGATTGTCCCCTTGAAATCTGTATCAGGCGTCAAAGATGAAAACCCAGGGACATGAACAGCTTCATGTGCATGTCTGATAAACATTAGAAATGTAAACCAACTCAGTTACTGTACTTCTACCTGAAAGATCTTCAGGTAAATATTTAAATTTAATAAGAGGTGTCCAGGTAGCAGCAGGCCTAGTTATAAGTAATAAATACTATTAAATGATCTTGTTCATTATCTGTGACATGTGCCTTAAACATTTCACTAGAACTACACACACACACACACATGCAGGGTGTATAACAAACACAAGAAGTGGCTGATATTGAAAGATTCTACCAATGGCTGGTTAAAGCTTGACAGGGTAGACGGCATAGAAACACTACTCATGGTAGCAAAAGATCCTTAGAGGTCGAGGTCTATCATACAGGCTGTGCAAAGATACCCCAGAGATAATCCAGCACATAACAGCAGAGTGCAAGATGCTAGCAGGCAGGGCATACATTGAACACCATAACCAAGTGTGTGGCATCGTATACAGGAACATCTTTGACGAGTATGGTCTGGAAATCCGGAGGTCAAAATGGGATACACCCCAAAGGTGATTGAGAGTAACCCAAGCTAACATCCATTTAGACCTCCAGATGCAGACAAACAAACTGGTGATGGTTAACCAATCAAATATAATGTCCACATGGTGGACCATCAGAGGAAGAAGGCCACGGTGATGGATGTAGCTATACCAAGTGAATCAAGAAGAAGGAATACAAGAAGCTTGAGAAATACCAAGGGCTGACGAGCCCACAGGTCGAGTGGGGAATTATTGTACAAGTATGCATTAGGATCATAGTGTTGTGTTATTTTTAAAGTGCAATAATCACATACTGGTGCCTCAAGTGTATTTGCCAAAAAAGAGAAAAAGTGCAATAAATGAAGATTAATCTGGGTGATTGTTTTTATTTTTAATTGTGTGCATAATTAGCCTGTAATAACAATCTGATGATATATAACTTTTCACTGTCCACTTTCTGCTGTAACAAAACAAATTTCCCACGTGTGGGACTAATAAAGGTTGTCTTATCTTATGTTGGGGCAGTTGTTTTAAACTCTGTTTCTACACTGTGTTCAGATTAATTTGCACTGACACTGAAAACATGTGTAGGACTCAGACATGAAATTGATAAAGAATCTGACCTGTAAGCAAAAACGCTATCCATATATATTTTTAAAAACACTTTGTCAGTATCCATCCTACCCCTCCTTGGCTTTGTTACTCATTCCTTCTGTGCTTTCGATTCCCAGGTGGTGACCGGTGGTCATTACGATGTGGACTGCCGCTTGGAGGACCCAGATGGCACAACACTCTATAAGGAGATGAAGAAGCAATATGACAGCTTTACCTTCACAGCAGCCAAGAACGGCACCTACAAATTCTGCTTCAGCAATGAGTTCTCCACCTTCACCCATAAGACAGTTTACTTTGACTTCCAGGTTGGCGATGACCCTCCACTTTTCCCCAACGAGAACAGAGTCACTGCTCTTACTCAGGTAAACTGTGAGGATGCACACATAAACCTGTTAACTGCCTGTTTCTCTCACTGATGTTTCCTTCATTGTATTTGTTAGGGCGAAATAACCTAAACGGTTACCCTGTCTTCATCCTGGTTGCACAAATGAACCAACACAGTTTCTTTAAATTAAAAGCAAATAAATCCTGGTGATAAATAACCCCCAAAAAGCAGAGCAGCCACCTTGCAGAGTTTGTTTATTTTATTCAGATAGAAAGGGTCACCAGACAAGCTTTATCTGTAAATGAAATCTCAGTACTGTGGCTACTCTCACAAGATAATATCAACTAAAAGAAGGCTGAAATTTGGTGATGTAGCAAGACGGTGATCCTAACCAGTGATCTACCAAAGAACGATTTTAAACAAACAAAAAAAAGACATTTGGAGAGACCCAGACAAACCCAGAAAATGACCGTTTGAACTTTGTGCAATTACTTCAGGGAAGCTGATTACATCCTAAAAATATGGCTGAGCTGGAGTCATTCTTTTTAGAATAATGGGGGGAAAATTCCTGCTAAATGTTGCAGATGTTAGTCCCCTCCTTCTGGAAATGTCTGACCTTATCACCTTTTTGTGTTTCATTAGATTAAGTAAATGATGGTTGTCATTTATCAGGCACAAAACTAAAGGCAGAAAAAGACAGCAAGATGTGGGATGTTCAAATACTGAAATATATGTCTGTTCAGACAGACTAGAAAAAGCACAAAATATCATCTGCCTACTGTAATATTAGCTAAGGAAATATAATTAAAAAGCACTGCCAAAACCACTGTTGCCAAAAGAATACCAATGATATAAATACAAGAACCACCCCTCCCTTAAGTGACAGACTCATATTTGTCAGCCCTGCAGATTTAATGTTCCTGGTGGATGAATTTAGTAAATATTTTCAGCCATCTTCCAAAAATCTAAAATCAGTTTTGTTTTCCAATCTTCACCATTTACAGATGGAGTCAGCCTGCGTGTCCATCCATGAGGCTCTGAAGTCGGTGATCGACTATCAGACACACTTTCGCCTCCGTGAGGCCCAGGGACGCAGTCGCGCCGAGGACCTCAATACCCGCGTCGCTTTCTGGTCCATCGGAGAAGCCATTATCCTTCTGGTGGTCAGCATCAGCCAGGTGGTCTTGCTGCGAAGCTTCTTCTCTGACAAGAAGACCACGACAACGCGTGTGGGCTCATAACAGCCTCTGAGATCTGACTCATCACTTCCTTTGTCTGTTCTTGAGCTTGTGTGCATGGAGTGCATAGGAACAGCCGCGCTGATCTGTAATTGAATCATATCAAGCGGCCAGGTCCTACAATCTGATGCGGCCTCTTAAATCAGTACAGCTGTTCTTACAACTTTATGCAAATTAGTCTTGAGGAGAAAAAATAGTTGTGGGTTAAAAGTGTTTTTGAGGATTAAAAAAAAAACAGGAGGAAGACTTGATTGTGTTGCTTGTAACTATCTGTATTTGAAGCAGTTCAAGCACCGGCCATATAGCTAAAGAAAAACTTTAAGTCATTTGAATATTTGAAATGATTTCTAAATGTGTTCTTATTTTAAATGTGTCCTTTTCTAACCCCTGTCTTCATGATCTGTTCCAATTTTCATCCCAAACTGCTCTGAAATAAGCACCCAAGTGGATACTGGGACTAAATGTAGTCATATTATAAGGATACTGCAGATATTTGTCTTTATCTGCACTAGCTCTCAAAAGCCACACTCTCAGTGCGAAGGTTGGATTTGTTTATGAAAAATCTGTTGCATTTTTTTCCTGTGTTACTAAAACTCACTTTATTAAGTGAGAAATGGTAGATGTTGTGTTTTTTGTTTTGATCGGCTTTGCCATTTTAGATAGTAGTTAGAAAGGAGTTTGCTGTGCTCTGCAGAGAGTAAGCAGTCCTTTAATCCAATATTAGTTTGACACCCTTTGTTCATAAGGTGGTTGTTGGGTTGAAGGATTGAATTAAAGTGCAGAAGGTATACCACGAGTGACTGCAAACCTAATTCCTTAAAGAAAATCTCTATAAATTAAAAGTACGTTTTTGCTTTGTTTCCATTTGCTCTCTTTTACATTGGGGGAAATATTGATCGGTTTAAGTGTGCAACATAAATTCTAACATATGGGATATAGGTTTTTTTTTGTTGTTGTTGTTTTTTATTATTACATCTGTGTGACTCTGTGGCAGACAAAAAAGAAATGACTCATTCTTGTATTTAAAACCGCATCGTTTTGTCTGTTAAGTGGCAATCCCAGCTGTTAGAGGTGCACCAGTTCCTTAAGTCACTGTCTTTCTTTGAGCCGACGCTGTCCATTTGGTTTTGTACAACAATATTGTAACATTTGTGTGGTCGGAAGAATTGTTGCTTGAATAGAAGATAATTCAAGTGAATACGAGTTATAATTTGATGTTTCAAAACTCTCATCTCACCCTTTTTTGACATTTATTTAGCAGTGCAGAAAGAAATCTTAAACATGCATGTTTATTTTTAGGGGTTTCACTACAAATTTCGGTGAGCAGTTTTTTTGTACTAGTGTAGGTCACATGCAATGGTTTATGGGCTTAGTTCACCTGGGTGGTTTGACTTTCAGGCAGGCATCACGTGGATCTTTATTTGTGGTTTACAAACATCTTACTGTAAATGTATCTCTTTCACATAGACATTGGCTAAAGCACAAGTATAAAGAAGCTGTTTTAACCTACATAATTTTACAGCTATATGAAAAGAGATGAGAACAGATCGAAAGCTAAAAGATTGTGGTTATATGTTAAACCTTTTCAGTCAGGGATGGGAAAAGAAAAAAAAATTCAGTGTACAAATATTATCCCACTGAAAGAAGCCAAAAAAGCTTGTTTCATTTTATTGTCCAGGTTTATAGAAGTGTCCTACTTGGGATAGAAGTGATTAAAAACAACAAAAACTTCAAGAACAATCAATTTGATCTGTTATTCTCTCTCCAGAGGTCGCCATGTTTTATGTGGTGCAATTTTGGCATTTCCATTTGCACAAGTTTAGCTCCGAGGCATTGTGGGAAGTTGTTAAGTTATTGTGGGATGGATGAATAAACTTTTTGTTTAAATGTTAAATTCTGCACTTATTTAGTCACCATTAATTAATAAACTGTACATTGAGGTGTTGGGTTTCTAGATAACACAATCTGCTCATGCTTCTTTTATCCTGAGGGGGGTGATATTGTCAAGGCCATCACAATTTTCTAAAGCATGTTCATGGTTTCCTTTAGGTCAGGGGTGTCAAGACTCCGTTTATTTCCTTTGTCACATGCAGTCTTATTCTTTATTTAATTATTTTTCTCATTTTAAAAAACAAATTTACACACAGCTCGATCTTTAGGAAGTGTGTAGAATGTTGTGTAGAAAAACTCATAAACCTGCATTTTATTCACAGTAGAATGTGGAAAAGCTCTAGATGAGGCCCCGTGGTAGACTCAGGACACGCTGGAGAGATGATGTCTCTTGGCTGGTCTGAGAGCGCCCCGGTGTTCACTCGGATGAGCTGGAGTAAGTGGCTGGGGAGGGGAGGTCTTGGCATCTCTGCCGAAACTGCTGTCCGCATGGCCCAGACCTGGCTAAGCAATAGAAGATGGATGGATGGATCCTGCACATAGCATATTTCAGTAAGACGAGACTAAATCATATAATTCCGCTATTACAACAGCGTGGCATCATAGTAGAAAAGTCCAGGTGCTGAACTGCCAAGCATGCAATCCAGACCTTTTTCCAACTGAAAACATTTTGCAGCTAAATGAATAAATATGAAAAAGCAGACCCACCCAGAACTGTTGAGCATCTAGAATCCGACATGAATGGGACTTTTACAGATGTCATCTCCCAGAAGTCCAACACCTGGTCTCATAAGTTCACAGATATTTACAGATTGTCAAAGAAGAGTGGATGCTGTGCAGGGGTAAACACAGCTTGAACACTTGATATGTTTTCTGGGTTCTGTTATTATAAACTATAACTATATCCCAAGTTATAGTATTATTTGGTGCATTTGTACTGTTGGCAAACTGATGTGCATAATCAAAGTGAGAAAAGTTGAAATAAAAAGGTGGTAGATGTTATTTATATAACTAGAAGATCAATAGGGACTCGTTCTCTGTTTATATACAGTAAAATGTATGCATACATCTACATATGATTACAAGACCTTGGTATGTGTACAAAAATAACTATATGCTACTACACTCATCAGACACCTATCCCCATTAAGTTTATTCTATTAAATATATATCCATATAGGAAAACGTGACTTAACTTTACTTTCAGTATGATTGTATATTTATATGCCTTGTGGTTTATCTATACATGTCAGTTACATTCACCTAAGACAAATGCTTGAAAAAAGGTGATAACTCCCCCCTCTCCAACCTCTCTTTCACCTGTTTTCTACTGTCTACTGTTTTCTACAGATCACAATGTCATCTGCAAACATCAGTGTCAACAAAGAATCCTGTCTGGCCTCATCAACCTGTCTCACTGTCCTGACCAAGCATATTACAGTTATTAACAAAAAACAATAATTTGCAAACTAAATAAATAAAGCATACAATATATGATTAATGTATTACAGGGTATTGATGCAGATGTTAGTGGGACTGGAATCTCCAAATGACTGTGAGTCCCGCGTTTTTATTGCAATAGTTGATCTAACCCTAACAAATAAGTTAAAGGAAAAATAAAAGATCAGACTGAATGAATAACTTCATACATAAATAAATAAGTATAGTCATTAATATAATTTTTTTTAAATCATTTTTCATGCTGTCTCTTTAATTTCAAACTGCCTCTGGAAGCTGCTGAGGATGTGCATTACCGTGTGTCTTCCTCAGCTATCAGTGCAGTATTTGAGTCTTTCCTGTGCCTCTGTTTCTCTTTCTATGGTAGTAAGAAAATTCATTGGTGCTTGAAAAACACTCTTTTAACTCTTTGTTGTTGTCTGCGTAACAGGGCTTCCAGCTCTCTGATTGGCTGTCCACCTGTCAATCATGTGCTCCACTGGAGAAAAAAAAAAGACTGCGTCGGGTTTGTGATTTGACACAAACCGAGTCGTGATCATCCGGTTGAGCCGTGGGTGGTTAGTTAGCCTCCCCTGTTTACCTTCTTTTCCTTTGGCGGACCTGCCAGCTTGTTGAGCGGCTGTGTGGACGACTGGTAACCTGCCGTTTTTGTGGTAACGCCTGTTGGTTTTTGGAAGGGGACGAGGTGTGTCTGTGAGAGAGAAACGCGGCGCGGTTAGTGGGGGATATCCCCTCGCTTGTTTGACTGAACGTCGTTTTTCCTGGCTAAGCTAGCATAAGCAGCAGCAGCGTAAACGGGTGGGGGTGGATTTCTACGCTTCGGCCCTTGGAAAGCAAATATAAATAACCCACTGAGGAGTAACGTTATGCTGGGGAACAATGACCAGCGAATGGGGACAGATCTAAGGAAGAAGGGCTTCTCGAGTGGAGCGGACATGTCAGTGGATGAGCAGCGGTGAAGAGTGGTTCGGCTAAGCGGAGCTAGTCGGTTAGCTAAACGGATCGAGGAAGTTGACTAGCCACTTTTGCTAACTGGGCTAAAAACGTCTGAGTTAGTAATATAGATTAAGATTTAAGTGGTGTCAACTTTTTAAAGCTGGAGATTTAGAAAGTCACGAACTATTTGCGGATTTTAATCCCCAACAACAAGAAAAGGTAGCGCATTGGTTTAACAGTTAGCTAGAAAGTCGAAGCTTGTTATAAACAAAGGCTGCCAAGCTTCACCTGTCCACAGCGACCTTACACATCCACGGGTCGTCGACCCCATTGTTTGACAGACAGCGCTGCCATTTTTTTAACTACCATTAAACCGTGAATTTAAGTCTCGGGGATGGATTTAAAGACCGCGGTGTTTAACGCAGCCAGAGATGGTAAGCTCCGGCTGCTTCAGAAGCTGCTGGAGAACAAAGATGGGCACGAGGTGACCAAGTTAATGGGCGAGAAGACAAACGGGGCCACCCCGCTCCTGATGGCTGCCCGGTACGGCCACTTGGACCTGGTGGAGTATCTGCTGGAGTGCTGCAGTGCTCCTGTCGAGGTCGGTGGATCGGTGAACTTTGACGGGGAGACTATCGAGGGGGCGCCCCCTCTCTGGGCTGCCTCGGCAGCGGGACATCTGAAGGTAGTCCAGTCCCTGCTGGGTCACGGAGCTTCTGTCAACAGTACAACGCTGACCAACTCAACGCCCCTGAGGGCGGCCTGCTTTGACGGCCACCTGGATATTGTGAAATACCTGGTGGAGCACAATGCTGACCTGGAAGTAGCCAACAGACACGGCCATACTTGTCTCATGATTTCATGCTACAAGGGGCACAAGGAGATAGCGCAGTACCTGCTGGAGAAAGGGGCAGATGTCAACAGGAAAAGCATCAAAGGTGAGTCTGTAAAAAGCTTTCCACAGTAAAATGTTGACTACATGGATGATAAGCCCTATTTTCTTTTTCCTTTTTTTTTTTTTTTTTTTTGAGCCGATAGCAGATAGTTTGAGAAAATCGAGCAACAAATGGGCAAAATGCACGTGACACGCATGCATCCAAATATAGGGTTTGTTATCGGATGACAAAATTAACTAATTTGCAATTGCTTTTTTTCCTGTATGAAATGACTCAACAGCAAATCATGAACTTCTGGTTTCACAGTGGAAAGTTGCAAGCTAGCTACGTCAGCCTGGATGCGTGCGTGTGTGTCAGGGTGTGTCTGGAAGCTCATACTTTGGATGGTGTTTTCTAAATACAGGAACAATAAGAATTTGTCTTTAAGATCATTGTCTTTTATACGTGTGGTTAAAAATAAAAGCACTTAACTTCTCAGGATGTTCATTGTTTTCTCTTTCTATGGAAACGGCTGCTTTGGTAGGCTTGAATTCACGGTTTTACAGTGAATTACAACCACAGACCTTTGGATACCTACCTAGATTGGCACATTAAAGTCCCTACTTTTAGCTCTTGTGTGATCAGAACTATATAGTTGAAGCTTATACTTAATTTCCTGTGACTAGCACTAAACTCAAGAGCAGGGCACAAACCACCCTCTCTACACTGCTTTTCACAAAACAGCTGTATTGACATAAGAGGGTAAATCTCTATTATTAGATATGACTGGAAACTTTTCAAAAACAATAAAGCTTATGTTTAGGCAGGAAAGTGAGCAAGTTAGAGGAGAAAAACAGTCCTGACAAAATAATCACAGATGACTAGACTGCTTCAGAAGTTGTGCCCTGCTCACTTCCTTCTCAGAAAAGTCATCACTTTTCAGTTCATAAAAGACTTTCAGTAAATAACCTGTTTGGTGAGGTGTCATCTTGAATCGATTAATGCAGACAAACAAATCTTAAATCATTTCTTGAAGTTTTTCCAATCAGTGTTATTTATCCAAACCACATTAAAACACTGATTATATAATCAAAAGTCAGTTTAAACCATTTTTTAGTATAAACATGGCTTTCTTGTTGTTTACCCAGTTTTGCTTGTACATATTTAACTGAGGGGGGAAAATGTAGCGCTGCTGCTGCAGTTTTCTGTCCAGAATTGTTATGTTTGCAGAAACCAAAGAATATAACTGCTGGTTGATCCCAAACTAACCCTGTTTGGTCTCATCTGACTGAGTGTGGAGTAGCCTCAGAGAGCAGAAAGAAAAACAAACGCACTGTTAACCAGAAGAAAAAAAAGGGGGGTGAGCTTGAAGTGTTTATAATTCCCAGTCATGGCATGTGTTGAATTTCCTCAAAGGGATTTACTTATCTTTATGGGACTCAAAGTTCAGTAAGCACGTGTGTGTGTGTCTGTAGATCCCTTCCTCTTTGGGGAAAACTGAACCTGATTTTTCAGGACTGAGTGACCTACTTTTAACATGCCAGACTTGAGTAAATGTAGCAGTGGTGGAAATGG